GAACAAGGGACCATCTGGTTCAAGGACAGAATCTGTGTACCTTCTGATCCAGCCCTACGAGAGGAAATTCTATCAGAAGCCCATGATTCTAAGTACTGTATTCACCCTGGAAATTCAAAGATGTATCAAGACTTGAAGAAACACTTTTGGTGGAAAGGCATGAAGACAGACATTGCAGGACATGTGGCACGATGTGACACCTGTAATAGAGTCAAGGCCGAACATCAAAGGCCTGCAGGATTGCTAAAGCCTCTTGACGTTCCCGAGTGGAAATGGGAGAGTATATCCATGGATTTCATAGTCGGATTGCCCCGTTCACAGAGTGGCAACGATTCCATCTGGGTGATAGTTGATCGTTTGACCAAGATTGCTCACTTTGTACCAGTGAAGACCAAGACCAACGCAGAAAAAATAGCAGATCTATATATTGAGTATATTCTCAGACTGCACGGAGCTCCCTCTAGTATTGTATCTGATCGTGGTCCTCAGTTTGTGTCCCGATTCTGGGAAGCTCTGCACAAGTCTATTGGAACTAAACTTGATTTCAGTACCACGTACCACCCACAGATAGATGGATAGACAGAATGAGTAAATTAGATCTTAGAAGATATGCTTCGCGCTAGTGTGCTAAATTATGGCTCTGATTGGGAGAAGTGCTTACCCTATGCAGAGTTCTCTTACAACAACAGCTACCAAGCCAGCATCAAGATGTCACCTTTTGAAGCTCTGTATGGCAGACCGTGTAAGACACCTTTGATGTGGTCCCAACCGGGAGAAAGGTCATTCTTCGACTCCGCTAAGATTCAAGATGCCGAAGAAGGAGTTGCCCAAGTAAGAGAGAATTTGAGAATTGCTCAAAGTCGATACAAGAGCTATGTTGACAAAAGAAGGAGAGAACTTGAGTACAGTGTGGGAGATTTCGTCTATCTCAAGGTATCCCCGCTACGTGGAACTATCAGATTCCATGTGAAAGGAAAGCTTGCCCCTAGATTTGTTGGCCCATACAAGATTTGCAAGAGGATTGGAAAACTCGCTTACAAATTCAAGCTACCCGAGGAATTGGCGGGTGTGCATCCCGTATTCCATGTGTCACAGCTACGCAACTATTTGAGAGTACCCGATGAAGCAGTTTCAACTGATACACTTGACATTCAAGATACACTTGAGTATAAAGAACATCCTATCAGAATTCTAGACAGAGATACCAAAGAGACCCGAAGCAAAACTATTCCTATGTGCAAGATCCAATGGAGCAACCACACTGAGAGAGAAGCAACATGGGAGAAAGAGTCTAACCTCCGGCTACAATATCCTTACCTCTTTGAAGAGTACGTTACACTTTAATCTCGAGGGCGAGATTCCGTTAAGGGGGTAGGACTGTAACAACCCAAAAATCCGCACACCAAAAATTCCAACTATAAAATTTTTCTTTCTTCAAAACCCTTGAGTGATGATGTGGCATGTAGGAAAACCCCTAACCTTGCACTAACTAAACCTATATGACTGGCACGAGTATCTCACCTCATCACCTAGAATTTATTTTACCACATAGCATATATCAAGTTGCATTATATTCAACATGGTGATTTGGATTTTATTCGATTTATGTGTTGATTAAATAAAAGCTAACAAATATGTGTTTATAAATAAATGAACTAAATAATATCCCAATAAATACTTTGACCAATGTTTATCACCAGGGAACATTTTATCAGAGGAGAAGTAGGCCACTTTGATTTATATACAGGAGAGAAGTGTAACATAATACTAAAGGTAAGAAGAGGGAGGCGTGACTCATTTCACCTGCCCGACCGCCCAAATGAACCAACCAATTGACAAAGATCACCGATCAGACGCAGCACGCCACCGACGAGCCGACCATACGTCGGCCGTCACGCACCAAGACGCCAAGATCGGACAAGTCGACAGATGGGCCCCTCTCATCACCCGCCCACTACAGGATCATCTTCTTCCCCACGCCACCTCATCTCTCGTAGAGCCCCGACCAAAGCAAGAGACGCGGCCCAGTTCACGCACATCGCATGACCCTGTTCCCCACCTTAGCGTCGCGCCCACGCAATCGCCCCCGCGCCCGAGAGCCGTCCGATGCGCTCGGCACATCACCAGCCGTTCCGTCATCCGCCATAGGAGCTTAGAGCTCCAGCTATAAAAGCCACGGCCCTCGGTTGCCCTAGCGTTCGCCCCATCGCCCCGCCGCCACTTGGTGGCCAACCACTTCACCGATCCAGAGAAAGGAGAGAAAGAAGGAAGGGAGAGGGAGGAGGAAGAAGGAGTCTCTGTCGGAGCACCTTCGAAGCCACCGGAGCAGGAGACGACGCCAACATCTTCATCACCATTGCGGGTCGGCACTGCACTGCTTCTGTCTACACGGCCACGACTCTCCACTGCACCACCATCCTATCTCCCACGACACCTACGGTGAGCGCCCGATTTTCCCCTGCTCGCCACCGGACTCTGCTATTCCGGCCATGGTGCTCCACACCGTGAGCGCGTAGGCCAAGGCCATCTCCGGCCTCTGGATACACAAGCACAGCATCCACGACCACACCGTAGACCCCTCCTAGCCCCATGGACGCTGTAGCCGAGCACACTTACGCCGCGCTCATGACGCCGCCGCCATGGCGCAGCCACCACCGGCTCACCCGACCACCTCGCTAGACTGGAACGTAGCCGTAGAGCATCACCGTGATGACCGGAAGATAGCCGCGTAGACCAAGTCGATGATAGTCAGCCGCATCCCCCTTGGCCACGAGCCCGAGACCACCATGACTCCGCCTCGCTCGTCGAGACCACATGCCGAGACCACTGAGACACCGTCTCGCTCGCCGAGACCATATGCCGAGACCACCATGACTCCGTCTCGATCGCCAAGACCACATGCCGAGACCACTGAGACACCGTCTCACTCGCCGAGACCATATGCCGAGATCACCATGACTCCGTCTCGCTCGCCGAGACCATATGCTGAGACCACCATGACTCAGTCTCGATCGCCGAGACCACATGCCGAGACCACTGAGACACCGTCTCGCTCGCCGAGACCATATGCCGAGATCACCATGACTCCGTCTCGCTCACCGAGACCACATGCCGAGACCACTGAGACACCGTCTCGATCGCCGAGACCACATGCCGAGACCACTGAGACACCGTCTCGCTCGCCGAGACCACCATGACCCCGCCTCGCTCGCCGAGACACATGCCGAGGCCATATGCAGAGGCCACATGCAGGGGCCACATGCAGAGACCACATGCCGAGACCAGCGTGACTCCATCTCGCTCGCCGAGACCACATGCCGAGACCACCGAGACCACCAAGGCTTCGTTTTCCGAGACCACCGTGGACCAGTCATAGTGTGACACATGTCAGCCCAGGATTAATTTAGCCTTTTCCATTTTTAGAAATGATTTAAACTTTGGAAATTCATAACAAATTCATACGACCTCAGAAAAATATGAAACCAGGACCAAAATTCATCTAAAATCGAGCTCTACGCAATGAACCTATGTTGAGTGCATTTGACTCTTTTGAATTTTCATTGCTTCTTTGTGCTATTCTATGGACGTCGCTAACGCGACTATAATACGATCGTTGCAGACTCGGAGGAGAACCTGACGGACGAGGATCGTGAGTACCGTGAGGAGTACGGAGACGACTACACTGAAGGTGCCACATCCCACCCAATCTCGTAGCACCTATTACGCATGGCTAAAGTAGAAATGCTAGTGCTTACTTTATTGTCATATCACACTATGGTAGGACTTGCATGGTAGTATGCTTTCTTGATGGCCTTATACCTTGACGCAACCTTACCCCTGCTCACCCTGCTGTTAGGCTAGTCACACGCTTGCTATTATATTTCATTGCTTATTACTTCTACTACGCTTACACTACATTGATGCGTGGTGGAAACTGGTAATTGGGGAGAGTGCTGCGTGTGTGACTTGGGTGCGTGGAGGGTGAGGGTTGTGTCGACCAAGTTGGAGTATACGACGAGTCTGGGGCGAGTCTTGCCGTGGGGTGCTACCTGGGCACCCCTGGAATGGATACCTGTGGTGGGTAAATAGTATATGAGGTGGCCTTGGGTGTGATCCTGTGATGGGAGGAGCCCAGGGTGGAGGTGCTGTGGTGGCACGGTAAATGGAAACCCTGATGAAGACATCCTGGCTTGGTCATCCCTAAGGACTTACTAGTACTCAGATTCACCGGGAAGCCTTACGTACCACTCGCCCTATATGGTGCAGGACGGCCAGACTACTTGGTAGGATATTGCCACTACTGCTAGGTTGTTAGCGGACAGTGTAAGGAGGTACGGGGTGCGGAGGATTTCCCCCACACCCTTCCGAGACTTCATGGAGACCTTGTGGACCCGGCTCATGACTCACAGTTTCAGCCACCCTAGACCGGACTTGGGGTGTACCAGGGCTAAATGGTAGAGTGGCATTATCCTAGGCTAGCAAGCGGCCGGAATCAGCCTAGTTGACGACGGTCGGCGAGGAAGGCGGATCTTGTGGTTATGTAAAACCTCTGCAGAGTGTATGGTTGATCGATCGATACATATGCCGACTTGTCGGTTATGGACCTTTCCTGGGTTTCGCTTAAACTAGATAGTGAGATGAGTCTTTCTATTCTCTCCCGGGAGTGAGTGTTCGCACGTAGCCAGGGGCTACGGGCCTTGAGACAGTGCCGAGAGGGAGTTGGCCTGTCGACCGAGCGATGGTACGGGCGAGGTATGGTGATGGTGTGGACATGGTGGTATATCGATCCCAGGATCGAAACCAGGCTATGGAATGGGAATGGGGTGGTGAATTAGCTGGTTTCTTCTGCCTGCAACTGCAGTTCAAATTAGTCTATATGAGTATGAATTATCTGGTTTCCGCTGCCAAAACATATAGCTCTGCAGATAGACTATTAAAATCTTTTTTTCTGAATGAACACAACCAACATGTTCTGATTCTTGTTTTTCTTTTCTTTTCAGGAGCTAGTGAAATTAGTAACACAAGTTTGTGGGGCAATTACTCTATTCCAAAAGACAACCCGTATACTGATGATAGCGAGTTAGAACCAGAAATTTGGGCATTGGGTCTTAGAAACCCGTGGAGATGCAGCTTTGATTCCGAAAGGCCTTCCTACTTCTACTGTGGAGATGTTGGGCAGGTACCATTCAAGAGCCTCAGTAATCCATGTTTAATTTGCTAGCTGCTAATGTTGACTTGCTTGATTAGTTTGCCTTATGAAATTGGAGTCAGGGATTCATTGCTTCTAGACACTGTTGAGGAACTGAATATGTATATATTTTGTATGTTACCAACTTCATTTGTGTTTGGACATTAACCATGTAGGATGAATACGAAGAAGTAGATTTAATCTCCAAAGGCGGAAACTATGGATGGCGTGCGCTCGAGGGTCCACTTGTTTACCATCCACAATGGGCACCTGGAGGAAATACCTCTCTCAGCTCCATAAACGCCATTCCTCCAATCATGGGATACAGTCATTCTGATGTCAATAAGAATATTGGGTCGGCATCAATCATGGGAGGTTACGTCTATAGAGGGTCCACTGATCCCTGCTTGTATGGAAGGTATCATCATCAACATCATTCGATCAACACTGCTATCTCGATACGTCCATTGTGTTAATTCAGAACTCATTTTGTACAGACCAATTCTTGAAACTTAACTCATGAGATGTATCTGTTAATCTGTTCTATTTCAGGTATTTGTATGCCGACCTGTACGCTTCGGCCATGTGGACAGGCAGAGACCCCTGAGAGCTGTGAGAACTACACCTCCACTCTGATCCCCTTCAGCTGCTCCAAGGACTCTCCGATACCCTGCGACACCGCTGCTGGGAGTCCTCTCCCGTCGCTTGGCTACATATACTCGTTTGGTGAGGATAACAACAAGGACATCTATGTGTTGGCCAGCAAAGGCGTGTACCGAGTTGTGAGGCCCAGCCTCTGCAGCTATACTTGCCCGACAGAGAGACCTGAGACGGGCAATGGGGCAGCGCCTCCTGGTCCTTCATCGAAGGCGTCGATGACAGGATTGAACAATCAGATGGGAATGCTTTTGTTGTCTGTCATTATATATGTTTTGGGTTTGTTGGTAAGATAGGATCCTGCTGCTGAGTCAGTCATCATGTTCAAAAGGAGAAATAACCAGTCCTGATATGGTGCATATGTTACTAGGAAGAGATCACAATAAGACTCAGTCAGTTATGGATCCGATGCTATGTAGAATATGAATGTTACCCTGAGTTTGCTGTAGGATCTTGGTAAATACTCCTAAATATTCAGTTATTTGCAGAGGAAAACAGAGGAGCTGGGGAAACTTTTGTTCATGTATCATGTCGCTATTTTCCATGATCTGATGATCGCACACAGAGAGTGATCTTCTGGAGTGCACGTCATCGTCCGATTGCCGTGGCTGGAGGCCGCCAAGCCGGCATTTTTAGAAAAAGGATTTTTTATTCCGGTCTCTGCAAGAGTTTTGCACACAACTAATTCTTATTACAAATCCAGCCTATTGCTATTTTTTAAGCTCTCAAAAAGCAAAACCAAAAAAGAAAAAATTGATTAAACGCTAAGCGCTAAGCCTTTTCAGCGACGACCATCCACGCTAGGCAAGCCGGCATTCTATGATCACAGAAGGAAGAACGAAGAAGGCCTTTGTTGCCAATGTGTGGAATACCGTGGATGCCTTCATGCATACGAGATGAGGCATCATCAGCTAGCAGATGACAATGACAACACTTGGACCGGTTTCTTCACTGAGAACTGCGCTGCACTTGTGAATGAGCTGGACGATACGCCGCGCGTGCAGATGACTTACGCGCTGATGCCTGTGGCGTACTGGCGGTGCTTCCTCTTACATGCGCATGCTGTCAATGCCAGGCTATGTGTACATAATATACTTAATTAACTCTCATCTCATCTTACATGATCATGAGGCGTTGTAACTTATATATTAAAAAAGTTGCCAATTATGCATTATGTTAAGGATAAAACGTGAACATATCTTAAGATGGCAGCTGCTACAACGTGACGTGACTGCTAGTATGGTTTTGTTTGTCCAATCCTTGGATCAGCAATATGCGAACAAACAGGATCAACGGCAGGCCATGAGGCCATCATATCTGTTACTGATTGCAGACCAAATACCATCGTGATTAGTAAATGTGAGCCACAACGCTTTTATCTTTGCATCAACTGAATCGAATGAAGAGGTAATTTCAAATGGTAGATCAAGGATGCAATGCCTTAGAAATGGGAAAAGAAACAAATGGAAAGCACCAACATGAGGAAGTTCAGGATTTGCATACCATTTGCATGTTGTCGATCCCCGAAGTGCCAATTTTCTTAAGGCTGTCAGTGGTACACAGATCCATACAAAATGAGACTATCACAGATAATTGACAACAATTATGTTTAAAAGGGGATGGAGTAATTACCATCAAACATGTGGTCGTCACGCCTCAGGGCATTTGTCAACAAAAAGAAGGAACTCCCCTGCAGATTTGATGGACCTCATGAGCTATTGCCCGTTGACGACATCGAGTACTCCACCATGGACCTCATGAGCTATTGCCCCCGAGGAGTACAACTTCATGGATGCACAATGTCCTCCGCAAGGAATAGGGACTGGAGCGATTTAGTAACTAAAATAAGTAAATAACTATTACGTAACAGCTATTTTTTGTTGAGCATCCTGTAACGAAGGTAAACCATCAAGATATGGTATGGTGGTTTCCAAGTCAAAATTGAATTGGTCTTAGAAGAGCATATTGTGCTAAAGTATGAAACCGATTAAGTCAAGAAAAATAATGTCAGTTAGATCCCCATAGCATCAGAGGTCTGAAAATATTCACATATTTGAATGCACATAGGCAGAGATTGGTTGGCATAATACCATATATATCTACTGTAGCAAAGATAAATTATGGTAAGCACGCAACATACCACACCTACTACTAGATTCCTGCTACTAAACATCTCTCTTCCTGTCTATATTCCCGATGCAAGGCAAAACCACTACTTACATTTTGCACGAACGTAACAGAAGATTCGGTAGCATAATATATCATCTAAAATTAGAGAAATCTTAACACATGAAAGCCATGGGAAAAAATATATTAAAGGCATAAGCTTTACACTAGGTAAGGCTATCTCCAACAACAACACCCAAAATATAAGACTCATTCGTCCTTTAGGTAGCACTACAGGCAAAATATTCAATACATATTCGGCATCTTCTCCAACAACAAGATCCAAAAAATAATCCTTTCTACAAATGGGTTTCCAGAGAGAGGATGCCCATATTTGGGTGGTGCCTCTCAGGTAACCTAAAATAGGTCTCCCGTATAGTTACTCTGTTGAAGACTAATTTTAGACCTCTTGCTACTTATTTTGGATTTGGATCTCTATATAGATTTCTCGTTGGAGACGGTCTAATCAGGCATCAACCTCGGTGTAGCAAGCCGGAGGCGCGAGTGCATGTCACATCTGTACTGAGTGACGGGTGAAGCAGTGAGCTCGACGTAGCGTAGCACCCACAAGCAGCGGCTTGCACGGGCTGCCTACAACTACAACTATGGCTACGAAGGTCTGGCTGTCAGATTGGATGCACGCCGAACATATGTACATACTTAAGGCATTGTGTGTCAAAGACATTTGCACGTTTTGAACTGCGATGAATATTTAGAGCCTAAATATCTATATTATGATATTATCTCATTTATGTAGACCCTATGTCATAGAGGTAATTGTGGCAGAACCACCCAAAATAATACACTTTTAGAGGCGCTTGTCTTCTACTAGACACTAAGCACCCCGAAAGTGGCTAAACCGAACAGTTCCGTCGAGCCCACCCCAAGGGAGAACTCAAAACAAACCACGTTTTACCGCCAGAATCCAATAATGAGTACGAGCTTACATCACTTAATCAATTTCTTACAACATAGAGTCTTGGAAATTATTTATTACAATACCAGAGTTCAGAGCACGATAATGAAATAGCGGAATGTAATAATCCTCTAGCGAAAACGATACACGGATCTATCTGTCCTTAAGTTGCACCTGTAACATGATAAAATAAACCCTGAGTACACAATATACTCGCAAGACTTACCCGACTAGTGGGAATATCTTCCCGACTCTTAAGGATATGATAGACAGTATGGTTTGCTGTTTTCTTTTGTTTACGAAAAGCATTACTAATAGTACGTCCTTAAGGTCAAGTTTTATTAGCAGTCATGATTACTTTATTAGCTAACCATTCTAGGTAAGCACCTATTCTACTTTCAAGCAAGGAGTGAGCAATCAGAACCGTTTTGTCATCTTTCATCTTTAAATTCTTACTACGGTGCTAGACCATAGCCAAGTCGTGCCGTCTCACAAAAACGACGATTCGTGAACCAATGTATCCTAGCTGGGTACCCCGAAACACACGCACCGCTTGTACCTCAGGCACAAACGAGACCAACCCACTCCACTCCTGTCGAGGGGTCCAGGTCCCCGTCCAAACTTGGACTCCAAGCCCCCACACTTGAGACCCGATCTCGGTATGGTGCTTAGACTTTCATCTTTCCCCGCCTTCAATCAGTCGGTCTGGAAAGAACCAGAACCCACGATAAGAGCGCAACGAGCCTTCCCGCTCCCAAAAGCATGTATGTGCTCAGGATAATAAGTCTGTGACCTGACTATCATCCACAGCAACGGACGGTCCTCAATCGACACGGACAGGGAAAACAGTGTAACCAAGTTAAGCCCCGTTGGCCGCGGGACACAACTTGTTACACCCACCAATATCCCATGACATATCCCTGGCCGGTCTCTATTTTTCCTTTCATCATTTTATCATAAGAATAATTATAATTGTTACCTATTGTGAGTAATGGCAGGTTACTCACGCTACCGAGAACCTAAGCATAGCAGCTACTCGAATCTATACTAGTAGCACTCGAATATATATATATGCATGTGGTTTTCATAAAATTTCTGTAACGTAAATGCACAACAGATATATATACGGTGAATATAAAAACAGAAGTTATGCACCGGGGCTTGCCTTGGGAAGGCGCGGTGTCAGCTGAGTCAGTCAGTGGTGGCTTCGGGATCTCCTCGAGAATCTCCTCCTCGTACTCCTCGACGATCTCCTCGAACTCGTGCTCGCTGGTGGTCACAATCTCCGCCGACTCGTTCTCTATATGCATGCGATTATAGTAATACAGCTATTTAGTATTTAGGCAACAACAACTCTTAAAATAAGAATACACCTATCAAGCTACTAAGCTAGCTCTAACGACTAATATACTAAGCTAACTAGCATCTTCACCAAACAAAATGTTGGGTTCACTAACAAACACTTAGCTTTGCAAATTAAGGGTATATCTTTATTTCTACTAAAGATTTAATGTATTTTGAAACAAAGAACGTTTAACTACCCCAATGCTTAGTCTATTCTAAGGCCACAAAAATTATAGTGAGCACATAATAATACAATGAAGCTATCATAAACATTTCAAGACTAAAGCTATCACCAATTTACCACAAAAATTCTTACAATGATTAACTTAATAATATGAAGCACTTTCAAATGATTTAAAAGATCCTAGTATCAACACATATAAATATGAACTAAATACACCAACAGATATATCACAATTTTAGAAACCTAATAAAATTTATTTCATAATTTTTGGACACTTATATGATTTTATATTAAATACCAAAGATCAGCTCAGAAATTAAATTAGAAAACCATTCACTAATTCTCTGGAAAAAGAAAATGGATTCTCCGCGCGGCCCACAACGCACGGCCCATGCGGCGCAGCGCGTGCGCGTGGCCCGCGGTGGGGGAGCCCGCGCGCGCTGGCGCTTTTGCAAAAGAGACCTCGAACTTCTCCCAAATTACAACTAAGTGCTAACACTATTTCCCCCTCTCTCAGACCTTCTCACTTAACCCCTCGTTCTTTCCCTAATTCACCCATGCGCACCCCCGGCGGCTCAGCGCACGGCGACACAGCACGGCCGCGACGACCACCTGGGACCTACGCCCGCCCATCTAACGGGTCGGTCTCCAACTTCGACCTAAATACCTGCGCTAAGCGGCAACACAGGGCGGCGGGACTCGCTGGAGCCAGCTGCGGCAGCGCGCGGCCGTCTGCGATAGTGGCGTGGCCGCCCCGGCGAATCAGAGCACCTAAGAACTTAACTGGCTAGCGAGGGAGCATCAGTAGACTACCATGGACCTAGCCAAGGTGACGGTTGGGGTTCAAGATGTCGGAGGAGGTGTGGCCACGTGCGGCCGAGTCGTGCGGCGGCGCACCGCAGTGGCGTGGTCGCGTTAGCGGCGATGGGGAGGCGGTAGAGGTTTCACTGGCGTGCGTAAGGTGGAGAGGGAGGCAAGGCGAAGCTAGTGGTGTAGGTGAATTGGCTTGGAAGGGACGGTAGGAGGGCTGCCCTCGTCCACTGTCGGACGCGGCCTTATCGACACGGCGACAGGAAAAAGCGTCAAATTGGAGCTTGCTAGTGCCTTCTTCATGGCTGGGTGGGGGCGGGTAGCGAGAGGACTTGATGGTGAAGCCGCAGATGTGTTAAATTAAATGGAAGTGATCCCTCGGTGGCCAATTGGATGGCACGGCTCGACGACGGCAGTAGAGGGAGAGAGAGACGAGGCAGCAAGTGGGCTCATCTCGGTCTCGCCTTGGCGGGACGTGGCCGGCATGATCTAAGTGTTACGCGCGCGGACGCAATCGGACAGCCGCGTGCGTCTAGCGACTGGCATGGCCCGCGCGGGCGCAGTGCCATTAATGGTAAGGCGACGGCGAGCTCAGCCACGTGCGCGCGGCATCTAACCGGGCCAGCAGCGGGGTATAGGCACAGGGGACAAGCGCGGACGCGACGGTGATGCAACAACACCAG